TCAGTATTAACCTTCCAATTGAATCAATAAATCTCATCATCTTGCCTTTGATCGACACTTTGTAACTATTTTTGACCAACTACCTTATGCTGAACAAATTACTCTTCATACCTGGTATGTATAATACATTGGAAATTACTAACTTTTTTCCATCTTTCCTCATAGTCAGAACATCACTTATGCCTTCAGCTGCTAGAGTATTGTCATTTAAAAATTTCACCATGTTCTTCATCGAGAGTTTAATGTTGACAATTCAATATTTCCTACCATTCCTATGTGATGAGCATCCTGAGTCCAAGTATCGTTGGTCCTTTAAGCTTTCTTTATTTCATGTTGTGACCATCAACAACATCTCTTAGTCTTTATGTGTTTGCAGACTTTGCATCATTTTCTTGCTTCTTTTGTTTTTCAGGACAATCACTAGAATAATGGTCATACCTCTGACAATTGAAACATTGAATGTGACATTTATCACGTTTTCTTCCACCACCTATTCCTCTACTTGCAACACCACCTCCATAGTTACTTTGGTATAAGGGTGTTATTTGATTTGACGCATTTCCTTCTTGCTGGTTTCCTCTACCAGTCGAATTGTTGTAGCCTCATCTACCTTTGTTGTTGAACCACTCATCTTTGCCTTTCTTTTCACTTATTGATTGCGCCTGCAAAGCCACATCACTTTTGGAATTGCTTGCATCTCTTTCTGCCATTCTTTGTTCATGAGATTCAAGCATCACTTGAAGCTCTTCCTTTGTTATTGTTGACAAATATTTTGACACTTATATGGCTACTACCACATGGTCAAATTTTGGAGCTAATGACCTCAAGATCTTTGCAACAATCGATCTTGATGTCAACGCTTCTCCATATATCTTAATTTGATTCACTAGTTTCATAACCTTAGTGAATAAATCAGTTATGCTTTCACTTTCTTCCATCTTAAGCAAATTACATATTCTTTTGTGAGTTTGTAACCTCACCTTTTTCACCTTTCCAGCCCCTCTAAATGATTTATCTAAGACTTTCGATGCTTCTTTTGTTGATTCTACATCACTGACATTTTTGAAATTATTTGAATCAACACATTGATGAATCAAAAAGAGATCTTTATAATCTTTCTTTTTCACTTTTTTGTGTGCAGCCTTTTTCATCTGTCGCGTTTTATTGTAGGCAACATCATTCCATCTTTCACAAGATCCCAAAGATCTTAATAGCAGAAAACAAACTTTATTTGCTTGCACCAATTCTCGTAATTCTGATTCTTCAGAATTGGAAGATTCGACGTAAAATGCTCATTCGGATGATTCAGTACGTTATGCTTCTTAAGAATCACACAGTCAATGTTCTAGATATCAGATGTTGGAATTACACTAAACCTATGGAGAATTTCAAGTTAATATTGATGAACAAGAATCAAATCATTTTATTGATTCAATCTCTTGTTCTTCACTCTTCACTCAAGTAAATCAACCAATCTTGGTTGCAAGATGATTCTGCTGCACAATCAGTAATGAAGAAAGAAAAAAATTAATTGGAGAAGAAAGAGAGATTAGGGTTTTGGAGAAAAGGGGAAGAAAGAGAATATTTCTACAGAGTTTCTCTTTTCCTTCAAACTGAAGTTTTATTCAATCTTTTCTCTATGCAACTGCATTTACAGTGATATGGTACCTTCTTATTTATAGGTTGAGAGTCTTGCACGCCAACATACTCTTTGCCTCCAACTAACCTAACTAACTCATCTAAAACAACAAATAAAGCTAAGTCAAAATTTTGTCAAGGTACACTTCTTAAACATTTTGACAATTATATTATTTTTGCACAGAGCATTTCGAAAACAACAAACTTTGTCAAAATGATACTTTGACAAAAAGAATTACACTTTCAACAAAACTACTATCTAAGAATGCATGAAAATAAAGCTACAAATTTTGTTTATTTAATTGGTTGTGAGTAAAATATAAGTTTTACTAGTTTTTTTTTATAAATTTAGAATAACTAAAGAACCTAAATTAACATTTTCCTTATTTTTGGCTCATTGAATACCATATTACACCATAGTTAACATGTAGATACACAAACTAAAAGTGAGACGCATTTCAAAACCGCTTCATCGACTTAGTTATAAACCTTCATATAAGTCAACAATATCCTTCTCCGCCATATTTTAATGGATAACAAGTCTTTATGCAAGTTTTGGATTAAGTTTTTAGTCAACTAACATCTTGCTCACGTGACTGGATTGATTGCATGATTGTATTGTTCGACTAACTGTTAGGTTATCGTCTACTCATGCTCTCTATATTATTAGTGTTAAAATAATGTGTGTTTGGTCTTTACTAGAATGGGTTTGTTAAGTTACTGGCATCAAAGTAAGGTATTGAAAATGGAAATGTCAAGGGTAGAGGTAGTAGGGTGTCTGTGTGGTGGAGAAATTTGGCTATAATCGAGGAAAGGTGGATGAGTTAAGATCCATAGTTAGACGATTGATTATCACGATCGATGGGTAATGGGGAAGGATCATCCATTTATAGTGACCTTTCGTTAGAGAAAGGCGGTCTTACTTCTAGGTTATGTCGTCTCTATGAGTTATCGGTTGACAAAAATATTTTAGTTATGGAGATAAGAAGGTTATGGTAGTAGTCTGAAAGTCTAGGGTGGAAGTGGCGAAGAAGACTTTTTGCATGGGATGAGAAGTCGATGACATAATATTGTTCTTTGTTGGATGTAACATTGTTTTGCACAATAATGTTTTTGACAATTGGATGTGAAACCTTACTGGATGAAAGAAGGTTATAACATTTTGATACATGAAGACCAACTTGATCCCGAAGACACCCGAAAAATCATTTGAGACAAAATTACAAAGTTAAAAGTATATTTATTCCCTTGACAATTGATCAACAATATGATTCCTATTAAAAAGGAGTGCTCGCAAGCTAGTATGATTCGGTTTTGAGAGAACTAGATGTCCAGACCCATCAAAAATATATGGGTTGATTTGGATTGAATTTTCATATTTTTTTGATAAAATCCAAACCAAACCAAACCGAGAAATAACGGATTGGTTTGATTTTGATTGATCGGATACATTAGAAACAAATTTTTAAAAAAAATAATTTTAAATTTAAATCAACCAATTTTCTATAATAATAATAATATTAATAATAATAATAATAATAATAATAATAATAATAATAATAATAATAATAATAATAATAATAATATAAAATAAATTTTATTTTATAAAAATCACAAATGACGTTTTATTTTTTTTCTTTCTTGAATATTTTAAAAATGGATGGGGATCGAAGAAGAGCTCTCAACATCTTTTCATAGAATGTGAGCTATTTGGCTAAATTTAGAGTTGTGTATAAAATTGGTTGGAGATTCTGGTGTTTATTCGACTCTCATCTATTCTATAAAGTGTAATTCTATCTATTCATAAAGTGCAGATTTTTCAACCGATAAAATGTCAATATCAACATGATTATAACCAAAATTACCATTATATGTATGTATCATATCATCTTCGTCTTCAACAACCATGTCATGCTTTATGATGTATGCATATTTATTTGATTATTCCATTCCTAATTCACTCTAAGACAATAAAATTAACGATCCCGAAATTGTGTCTAGTTCATAGTAGATATATCCTTGAATAGAATTTCATACCACTTTTTCTAAGTCTCCGTCCCCCCCTGCCTTTGCTTTAACTTCCTCTGCTTTTGCCTCTAACTCCCTTGCACTAGTCATGCCTATCTCTCATGCCTATGCAATTCTTACATGATATAATTTTCTCTTACTCCCTTACCCTAGTCTCCTTCTCCCATGCCTATGCAATCCATAACATGATATCAATTTTTTAAGTTACATCTCCGTCCCCCTGCCTTTGCTTTTGTCTACTGATTCTGATTTTTTTTGTTGACAGGCTCGGCCCAATCCAAGGCTATTAAGACATACGTCTCATTTTTTGACTTTAAAATAGATCTCAAATGTTAAAAAAGTAGTTTTCAAATTACATTTATTCTTCTATAATATGGTACTCGTCTTTAATTCTTACCTCTTAGTTTTACAATTTTAAAATTAAAAATATTTGCAATTCAATAATCAATGTCATTGGTTTTAAATTTTTTAGTGGTCTAAAGTGTTAAAAATTATAAAAATTATTAATGTAAAAAATTTATTTAATTTTTACTTACACGTTAATTTTTAAAACATCTCAATTTTACTATTTTAAAACATCTCAATTTTACTATTTTAAAAATATTTTTCAGTTCAATAACCAATAACGTTAGGCTTTAAATTCTTTACGCACATCAAAACTAACATTTAATTATAAAAAAGTTTTATAAAGTTTTATTTAAAAAGATTATTTTTTTAATTAAATATTATTTATAAAAATAGTTTAAATTGAATTCCGGCTTCAAAACGCTATTTAGTCTTAAATCTATATTGGTTTGATTAACATTATTATTATTATCATTACGGTATATTTTTAGTTTATTTTATTTCGGCCTGCATCTTCAACTTTTCTGTTTTTGTTTTCTTCCTTTGTTTGGGAAATAAGAACAGACTTGATGTTCACTATAACCCCGGAACACAACTAAATCATGTTTTTCATGCATTCATCAAATAGTTTATAAATATTACATGCTGTATTACTCACTTTGAGAATGATCCAGTCCCTTAACTACTTAACTAACATGCTGCCAACTCAATAGTTTGATATATGAATATAATTAAGCTCGAAACAAATTTCACTTCCATGTCATAAAGAGGCAATCAAAAACCTTCGGCAACTATGCAGTTTAACATACAGAAGCACATGGGAGGCATTCCTTAATAATAAGGAAATGATAATCAGTTTGTTCCTAAGCACCAACCCACATGTATAACTAAGAACTTTGGTATACCTACAACAACAATGCTTTGCTTAAAGCATCGGTAGATATTGACTATCTACCATTCACATTCTACTTTCAGATCTATTGAAAATATTAGTGATGTAAATAAGAGACCGGGCTAATTCCATCAGGACGGCGTGACCTAGAACCGCTGGAACCGTTAGCGCTATCCAATGCCTCCCCAAAAGCTCTCCGACTGTAATCATATTGGTTGCCACTGTTGTGAGATCCATACCTACTAGATTGATCCGTTCCACGACGAGGAGATGGAGCTGCCATTGAATTTAAAAAGAAAAAAAGCGCAGCAATTGAATTTAAAAAGAAAAAAAAAGCGCAGCAAGTATTAAACTGAGTTTCAGTGAAGTGATAAACTTAGACTTAAGAGAAATTGAAGTAGGTAAGTAATATAGATGTTACCTTGAGAATAATTTATTGCTTGTCTAGGGGAATGCTGAAAATTTTCTGAACTAATTATTTGCTCGGAGTAAGGCCTTGATCGTTGAAAAGAATTTGAGGTGGGTGTCGTAGCGGGAGAACTATTAGTGGTGCTTTTATCCTTATTAGCGGACTATACACGCCACGAACAATGAAAAATGCAGGACAACATGAAAAAAATTTTAATTATCAAATAGAATTTATTTATAGTTGAACAGTTGGATGCATCCATATACCCAATTATAGCCAAAGTTTGTAGTGTTGCACAATACAACCTTGCTTGTGAACTTCCAATCAGCAGGCTAAAATATTTTCAACAATTTATAAAAAGATTAAAATTTTCCAATGTTTCAGTTCAGGTTGTGAAACTCTAGTGAAAGAGCTAAATTTATATTCAACATTTTTAAAAAAAGATTAAAAACTGTCCAGGTTAATAGGTTACAAAAGATGGAAATTATAGATGTCAAAACGCACCGCAAACTTCAGTGTCCGTTTGTACAGTGTTACAAGGCCTGAGAAAAGTTTGACAGCATAGTCTGCAATCTCCTCAGTTTCAAACTCTGCAAAGGCAAAACCTTTAGGTTTCTCAGTTTCCTTATCTTTGGGAATGTGCAAGTCCACCACTCGTCCAGCTTGAATTAATATATCATACAAGACCCTTTCTGTAACCCTCTCATCCAGATTGCCTGAATTAAATACAAGTACCCAAATCAGAACCTAAAAGTAGATGCCTCATGTTTACTTATACATAGAGGTGTACATTCAAAACCCAAAAAAAATTGTTTATGCAAAAATGAAAGTTCCAACCAGCCATCCTTAATAAGAAATAAGAATAAAAAATATTTCATATAAACCAGGAAAATATAGCTGTGGGATATTGAGCATAACTAAAGCTAAAGGAAATAAAATCCACCAACAGTGTAGGAAACCTCAGATCATATAGAACATTATTGAGAAGTGTATTCATCAAAGAACCATTCCATCAATAACTTTTTTTACAAAAGTGAACATAGCAAAAGAGAGAAAGGGAGATCTAACACATTATAGGCTACATACAAAATAATTCAAAAAACAAAATCATCCCTGGTTGAAAGAGAATTGAATATTATTTAAAGAGTAATATGGCATGAGGACACTTGGCAAGCAAAATTTATATTTTTCAATAAAAAGTACTATGAACACAAAGCACAAAGATGGAAGAAATGAGTCAGTAAAAACTACTTACATAATGATCTCCATTTCCAGTAAACAAAATAGAAATTTCACATTTCTCTTTACATGAATATGCAACAGTTCTAATGTTAATCAAGACACTGCCATGAACACGTAACTGAAAGATGGAATAGGGAGTGGTATCTAGATAATCTGCATAGCGAGCAGGTTATGGGGCAAGGCATTGCATAGTATTAGTTTCTGGAAAATCTCTTCAGCGGATTTAATAGGGATTGGAATGGTGAGTTGTTTAAATTCATGGTTTTTATAAGGTTTCCATTTGATTCTGTAGGTTGTTGGTTACCCTGTTCAATTTGGTTCCATCTTAATATGTTCCATTTGATTCTGCTGGTTATTCAAATTGTTGGTTTTATAAGGTCATCTTCCTTCCCTAAGAAAATCAACTTCTTTGGAGTATATCAATTCTATCCTTTTAATAAATCAACTTCTTTCATCAACAAAAGTTTCAATCGTATTTCTTTACAGCCGCTAATCATATTATACCGTAGTAAATATAAAACTTAAAAAATATGTTTTAGTCTTCAACCTATACGCCATCAACAAAATATGTTCATATTACCAAGTTCATTCTTCTTTATCCTAACAAAATAAACTTAAAAATATATAGAATTGTGCAAGAAAAGATAATAACAATACTACAACATCAACAGCAACAACCAAGTCTTATCCTAATAAATGAGGTCAGCTACATAGATCAACTTACAGTATAATATTCTATCCAGGACAGTGATTTTATCCAAATCATTAATCTCAAGATCTTTCTTAATAACGTCTTTTATAGTTTTCTAGGTCGCCTTCCTCTACCCCTAGTTATTTGACTGAATCAACTTTTGTCATAATATTTTATCCAGATCATGTTTTTATCCAAATCGCTAATCTCAAGATCTTTCTTAATAACTTCTTTTATAGCTTTTATTGGTCTTCCTCTATCTTTAGCTATTTGACTCCTCTCCATCTCCTCTCCTCTCCTTACCACATAATCTACCAGTCTTCTCTCTACATGCTCAAACAAGCTAAGCCTATTTCCCACCATTTTTTCTACTATACTCAAAATGGAAAATTCACCATAACATTTTATCATATTTACAAACATATTACATGGATTTGCCAGTTTATTTGGAGCAAAAGGTGACCAAATAACAAGTAAATGATATTGACAATAGTCATAAAATACTGTTTTTTATACCATGACAACTAATCCCCAAGAATTCTTATTTTTAATATGTTAAGCAATCTACTAGATAACTGTTATGGGCTGTTCAGTAAAAAAAAAACCTAAATGATAAATCATCATATACATATAATATAATGCACCTAATAGAACCAACATATTGAAATCTAAATTATCTCACATCTTCACCGAAATGTATTAATAAAGTTGCGTTCAGTAATAAATTTGACTATCTCTAAGAAAAACAAGAAAGTTGAAGAACAAAATTGAATAGAAAAATAGTGAGATTACCTATGTAGACGGTGCAACCTGTATTGCCGGACATAGCTGCATATAGGTCTGATGTGAATCCTACCAAAGTATGATGAACCTCTGGTTCCAAACAGGAAAATAATCAGCGCAAAGTAAGAAGAACCAGAACCTAAAAAATCTTTGTTTAAAATCGAGCGGGACGAATTGAAACTTTGCTCTGCTGCGACGCAATTCACTGGTGTGTGCGCCGCGAAGTCGCACCGGAATTGAAACTTAGCGGGCGCTGCCGCGCCTAGTGAGGAGAGAGAAAATATGAAGCAAGGAAAAGAAGAAGAACGAAAACCTGAACTTTCTCGATGTTTGTGGTGGCGGTGACCAACTTCACCTGTGTTTTCCGGCGAGGTTCTTTACGGCCAATGTTTCTTGATTTTGTGGACTTCTCACTGAGTTCCGTTAGTTTAGGGTTTCAAATTGTTTACGCGAAATGTACTTTTAAAGTTTTTTAATTTTTTTATTGTGTAAAAAAAAGAGTTTTTTATTTTTATTAAATAGTCCGATGATAAAAGAAATTTGTATTGAAGGGCTTTAGTAATTGTAAAATATTAAAATGGGCCGGCAAAATTCATCCAATATCATTTGCAAGGATATTGCAGAATTTGGGAGGGGCACTAGAGCCGGCAAAATGGGCCGGACCAACCGGGCCGACCCGAAAGTCTGTCAAAAAATTCGAACTTAAACAAAAAAATAAGGTCCATTTATTATCCGGGCTTTTAAGCCCAAACCGTTAAAAGTTCGATGTTTAACCGGGCTAGCTCGACCGGGTAGCGGGTAACCCGCTTAGTCTTTTTTAATAAATTTTAGACTTTATTGTTAATTTAATTTGTAAAACTTAATGTTATCATTGAGAATTTTACTTTGTTTTGAATCCTTGTTCAAATGAAAAAAACAAACAATGCAACCAGGGAAATGTTATAAGTTATATTTTGGTGTGTACAACATTATTATCATTTTCTAAATGAAATGAAATGTCATACATATGCATTTTCTATGTGAAATGTCATACTATTGTAATTTGACGCTATGATAAAACTAGAGTATGGTGTGTACAATATACTAATAGTATTATATTATTTTTTAAATAAAACACTCACTTTTTAATTAAAAAAAACAAAATTATAAATGTAAACCGGGCCGGCCCGAAAAACCGTAGTCCGTGAAGGGCCGGGCTTGGTCAATCAAATTGTGGCTCGTTTATAATCCGGGCTTTTTAGCCCGACCCGAACAAAGCCCGAGCCCGTCATGGGCCAGCCCGCCACGGGTCGGGTAGCCCGTTTTGCCAGCTTTAAGGGGGAGGCGTGCACTATGAGAATATTACATGTAGTTTTAATTTTTGCCATGAAATCAATATCTTTTTTTTTTTCAAAGAGAGTGAACAACTATGAAGAATGTGTTAGCAAGAAGCAAATGCAATAAATTTATGATTTGTGTCTTTCCCTCGCCAAAGACACATATTTTTACTATTCAATTTATTCCATTGAATAAATATGATATCTGTATATGCTTTAATAATGCGGATATCTAATAATCGGATAATCCGTGGGTTTTAAGATACCGGTAGATATTTATAAATATTTAGGGGCAAATTTGAATCAAACCGGAATCTAAACCAAACCATGGTGTTTGGGTCGAACTTTTTTTTAATTCAAACAAAAATCGAACCAAACCAATTAAACCTGATGTAAATTGGTTCAGTCAACAAATTTTAAAAATTCTACTCGTCTACCTGAACCAACCATTTTTTTTGAACAAGCAAAAGTTTTATTAAAACTCAAACATAATATATGCCAAAACAAACATTACAACAATGTCCAACCAAGACTACAATAAAACCACCACAATAGACAGGTTGCTATAACACTTGAACATAAACTAACAAAACACACCCAAGCTACCAAGCATGTGATCACTGCATAAACAGCACCCAATTCTATCAGAATTACCCTGCTACAATGCTTCAAAAAGAGTTACACTGAAAAATACCAAAATCTCCATCCATCATGACTAGCACCAATGGGCCATGATAGACCAATTACTTATATCCACTGATACCTTGCCACAGATAAGAGAAAACATGACTCGCTCCGCAGTCCTATACTAATTGATGTTAACACTCTAGATATCAAAGTTATCCAAAATCCTCAAATGAAACAATCATGCACAGCAGCACACAGGCAAAAACCTACAGAACTCTTACACATACCCAAATGGCCTGTTTCAGGTGCTAAAGACCCACAACAAGTGCACAGCAAAACACAACACTCCTACAACCAGCCACCGCATCAAAACAGACATGATAGTCTGATAATGTAATGAGGTCGAAAACCTCACCACCGATATGATCTATCAAGTTGCAGACCACCAACCAAACTCACAAGCAGCAGTGATATAATTCAATTAGTAAGATATTGATGGCAATTTCCTACTACAAGCACAACAACCAGAAAGAGGGCATAGGTCTTGCTCAGTTCACTACCAAGATTTTGAGTTACTCAACTTATATGTTGAAGGCATTACTGAAGAAACATAACACCTGTCACACACAACTAAATGGAGTACTGCAACCTTGAGGAAAGGCTCCAAACGAACTCCCAGCATCCCCCAACCATATTAATTTATATAGTTTATATCATCATTATCATAGGAACTAGTATAAAATATTCAACTTCAACAAAAAAAAAAGTGAAATGTCATTTGTGACATTCACAACTATATGAAGAAAAAATTAAGAATTTTATATTATTATAGAAAATTAATCAATAAAAATTAGATATTTTTTTAAAACATTTTTGCATATTTGTTTCTAATATATCTGTCAATCCAACCCAAACCAACTCGTTCTTTTTTGGTTTGGTTCGGTTTGGGTTTTATCGGAAAAATGTGCAAATCCAATCCATATGTTTTTTATCAGTTTGGGTATCGGATTCTCTTGAAATCAAACCAAACCAGCCCACGAACATCCCTACAAATATCCATAGATAATTTTTTTCTATATATTTTTTTTGAATTTTTTTTAGTTTCTTTTAAAGACACGAAAAGTTATTATCATATAACATCCATACAATTTCGCTCTCAATTTAAAAACAAAATTTCATCATAATAATTTCCTTTTTTTCACCAAACATAATAAAATCCAAATATAATATTCATACATTTATTTTTAACCAAAACAAATAAAAGGTATTGTGATGTGAGTTATAGTGGAAGAGCGTACGATGAACGAGTAGGAATGGTGAAAGAGCGGATAACAGACAAGTAGGAAGACAAACACTGATTGGACAGAGGAAAGACAATATTGGTTGGTTGGATAGTGGAATTATTGGATTGAGGTATGGAATATTGAAGAAGTTTAAATATGAAATAGCCAAATATGATTTATATGGACTGTGAAAGATTTTTTTCAAAGAAAATTTCAAAAAAATATATAAGAATACTAATTTTTTTAGAAGATAAAAAGGCAGAGTAAAATAATCTAATGGTATTTAAATAATTTTTATAATATATTAATCGTTACGGACATCCAAGGGCATAGGTATCATTAAACTCACATTTGTATCAATTAACAAACGAATATTTGAATATCCATTTGTTTTATTCATGGATATTCATTAAGCTACTCGCCCCTTATCCGTAACAGATTTTATTTGCAGATACTCGTGGATACAATTTTTTTTACCATCCCTAGCAAGCTCGCGCAGGGAAGGTGGGAAACTTTGTCTCTAGTATTCTTAAGGTTGAAATTAGGAATCTCTTGGGCTTGGATTTTAGGTTCCAAGAAAGTAGTATTCACTCTCATGAGTGTGGGAGAGAGCTTTATTTAAAATCACACGATACAAGGTAGAAATTTTCTCTGTTGCAACGCAATTCACTGGTGTGTGTGCCGCGAAATCGCGCTAGAATTGCATCTTAGCGTGTGATGACGTGCCTAGTAAGGAGAAAGAAAATACAAAGAAGGAAAATAAGAAGAAATAAAACCTGAACTTTCTCAATGTTCCTAGCAGCGATGAACAACTTTGACTATGTTTTCAAGCAAGGTTCTTTACGACTAATGTTTCTTGATTTTACGGGCTTGTGATTGAGTTCCGTTATTTTAGAATTTCAAACTTTTTACAAAAATGTACTTTTAAAGTTTTTTTTATTAGTAGTTTAGAAAATTTTAAGATTAAGAATGAAGTTAAGCCACGTTAGGGGTGAGAATAAAATGAGTCAACTACGCTTTGTCAATGTTAAACTTGTCATATTAAAAGTATTAAAGCCTAGTTTAGTATGTAGTTTGTTATACCTTTATTTTTAAGCATGAGTATGGCTTTTCCGAAGGTATGATTGATCTGTTAGCCTACTTAAAAGTTTATTTCATTTGAACATATGTATATAAACAATTCAATTAATGTTTATTTAGATTGAAATATTAAAAGATCAATATACTAAAAATTTGTTTGTAATGATTTATCCGAGTTTTTCTGGTAGTGTAAGTTTTGTGAGATTATTTGTTTAGAAAAACTTACGAAAATAATTTACAACATTGTTTATAAGGTGTTTTCATCCTATTTTCATAAGTTCCTCAAGATTACTAAATTTTTTAAAAAATTTGTGATTTAATTTAAAGTACATTGCATAATTTAATAATACAAAAAAATATATTCATATTTATTTAAATAGGTCGGTATAATAAGCTTGAAAAAACATGTTTATAGTCAGAGACCTAACCTTTTTAACTAAATAGTTTTTTTTTTTTAAAATTAGGTCTTTTCTATTTTAAAAAAAGTTTGGTCAGCCTTGGACCTGCATAAGCTAAGTCATAGGCCCATTTTAGTTGGTCTGATATATTCCCACCCTACACACTTCCAAACCCCTAAAGCATTTCCAATGGTTCAACCAAATCCATTGTGGGTTGAAATTGCAAATTGTCATTTACATTAATTATAATGCAATAGAAGTTGATAAAACGTCATTTTATAATACGCTCTTTAGGGTACTCGTTCTTTCAATGACTCTTAGGATTTTGCTGCTTGTTTT